ACATCAAAACGGGGTTAGCCAAATCCCGAAGTCTTCTAAAATATACGTACGTTCTAAAGATTATAAATCGACAAATTCTTATGACTAGAACAAAAGCCTACCTCTCTGTCTCTGTATTTTCTTTGGAGTCTACTCACTTTCACAAACTTAAGAACCTCGTTGAAAATCCACATCCAGGAAGGAATTCTGTGCGAGTGGTTCTCATGGCACAATTACAGAGGTCTAATAGGGAAATACTTATCTCTGGCCTTTTTTAAAGACCTTGTTCGAACCTCAAACTTAGGGTCTAAATAAGTGCGTAATAAAACTTAGCGACACATTTCCAAACCTTAAGGGAAACTCAAATCAGGATAGGAGATAAACTTTATTCGTTTGTTTGATCGCGACATTTCTACTGCAATACTGCTAGTCTTCATTAGGCAATGAGGTCGCTTGTTTACGTGTCGCTATTTGTAGCGCGTTGCTTCGTTGCTATTGGTGCATTTCGATCCTCATTATTATTCCGGTTGTTAGATGGTGTTCCCCCATAGGTCCTCATTAATCGACTGTTGTGGTGTCTGATCGTCGAATAGACACTTAACAATACCACGCTTCACTGACTGAGGTTGGTTGGTGAATTCCCCCACTGGTACACACGTACGGTTAAAGAGGCTATCCATATAAGACTTCATCTCAACAACATCAATGGAGATAGTGGAATCGAAATTCACGAAGCTTGGATACTCACGATCAAACAACACAACAGCCGATCAAAGAGGACCTATGAGGGAACACCATCTAACAACCGGAATACTAATGAGGATCGAAATGCACTAATAGCAGCCGACTAACGTGCTACAAATGGCTTAAGGGGTAAGTTGGCCACCGTACAGAGTTAAAAGGCAGACGTTCAGAGCGTCAGAGCAATGAAGACTAGCAGCATTGCAGTGGAATCGTCACGTTCAACATCCAAAGTGACTCTATCGTGAGACAAAGGAATTAACTTCATCTTTTATCTTACACCACGATGAACAAAAAACTTATTTTATCACATCAAACCAGGAAGTAGAAATTGCCGAAGATCTGAGAGACAAGGCTGGAGAAGGATGGAGTTATGGCAACCTTGGCATTACTATTCTTGGTCTAGGACGGTTCAAAACAGCCATCGACTACCATAAACAAGATCTAGAAATTGCCAAAGAAGTGGGAGACAAGGCTGGAGAAGGAAGGAGTTATGGCAACCTTGGCAATGCTTATCGTGGTCTAGGACAGTTCAAAACAGCCATCGACTACCATAAAAAAGATCTAGAAATTGCCAAAGAAGTGGGAGACAAGGCTGGAGAAGGAAGGAGTTATGGCAACCTTGGTAATGCTTATCATTGTCTAGGACAGTTCAAAACAGCCATCGACTACCATAAACGTCATCTAGAAATTGCCAAAGAAGTGGGGGACAAGGCTGGAGAAGGAGCGAGTTATGGCAACCTTGGCAGTGCTTACCGTAGTCTAGGACAGTTCAAAACAGCCATCGACTACCATAAACGTCATCTAGAAATTGCCAAAGAAGTGGGAGACAAGGCTGGAGAAGGAGCGAGTTATGGCAACCTTGGCAGTGCTTATCGTAGTCTAGGACAGTTCAAAATAGCCATCGACTACCATAAACGTCATCTAGAAATTGCCAAAGAAGTTGGAGACAAGGCTGGAGAAGGAGCGAGTTATGGCAACCTTGGCAATGCTTATCATGGTCTAGGACAGTTCAAAACAGCCATCGACTACCATAAACGTCATCTAGAAATTGCCAAAGAAGTGGGAGACAAGGCTGGAGAAGGAGCGAGTTATGGCAACCTTGGCAGTGCTTATCATTGTCTAGGACAGTTCAAAACAGCCATCGACTACCATAAACAAGATCTAGAAATTGCCAAAGAAGTGGGAGACAAGGCTGGAGAAGGAAAGAGTTATGGCAACCTTGGCAGTGCTTATCATTGTCTAGGACAGTTCAAAACAGCCATCGACTACCATAAACAAGATCTAGAAATTGCCAAAGAAGTGGGAGACAAGGATGGGATTGCCCAGGCTCTTTGTAGTCTTGCTACAGATTTTGAAAGGCATGAATGTCTCCAAACCGCCCTCGACTATTATATTTCTAGTAGAAAGATTTTTAATAACGTTCGGGCTAGTTTTCTGTTGCACCATAACTGGAAGATTTCGTATCGAAATGTTCACAAAACAGCATACAATGGTGTTTGGCGCGTACTTTTACTGAAGGGTGAACACGTCAAAGCTCTTCTTGCTGCCGAGGAGGGACGTGCACAAGCTCTAAGGGATATCGTGGATTTAAAGTATAGCTTTCGACAAACCCTCACGTGGTCGAACTCTAGGAAATGCTCTGATTGTCTTTCATTAAGAAACGTTTCATCAGATGTAGTTTTCCTAGCAATTACTGGACCTTACATTGCTTCGTGGACTATTCGGAACGGGGAAGTCGTTCAATCGAGAATAAAGCATGTGAACAACTTTCTTTACCAACGTGAATTAGAAGTTTACATTACCTCTTTGAATAAGGCTGCTTCCTTGCAAGTTAGTGCATGGGAAAAAAGTTCAACTCAAGTGGGCCGAGATGAAAAAGGAACGAGCGATGGTGCTCCGCGAAACGCGACGACAAATGCCCTGCGGAAGCTTTATGATATCATAGTTGCTCCTATCGCAGATCTGATTGATGGAGATGAGCTTGTATTTGTTCCTGAAGGTCCACTTTGCTTGGTGCCCTATGCAGCATTGGTGGATTCGAATTCAAGGTATCTGTGCGAATCTTTCAGGATTCGAGTAATTCCATCCCTAACCATTTTAAAATCAATCTCAGACTGCCCGACAGAATTGCACAATAAAACCGGTGCACTGCTCGTGGGTGATCCATGTTACAAGCAAGTCCTTTATCAGGGTGATTTGTTGAATCAGCTACCGGGTGCAAGGAAAGAGGTGAAGATGATTGGAGGAATCCTCGGTATTGCTCCTCTCGTTGGAGGAGAGGCGACAAAGGAAGAGGTATTAGGACGAATTTCCTCAGTTGCGTTGGTTCACATTGCAGCGCATGGTAAAAAAGAGACAGGAGAGATTCTCTTGGCACCAAACACGAGTAGGACAAGCTGTCAAGCTGAAGAGGAAGACTATCTACTGACAATGAGAGACGTGTTACAAGTGGGGCTGCGAGCGAAACTGGTTGTGCTAAGTTGCCCTCACAGCGCTTGCGGTGAGGTTATGGCCGAAGGTGTGGTTGGCATTGCGCGAGCGTTCTTAGGTGCCGGTGCTCGATCGGTTCTGGTAGCCCTGTGGGCCATTGATGACGATGGTACTCAGGCCTTCATGAAACATTTCTACGGAGCACTGGAAGAAGGCAAGGGTACCAGTGAGGCTGTCAATCAAGCCATGAAGTGCATGAGAGAGTCTGAAATGTTCAGTAAAGGGAATTACTGGGCGCCATTTGTACTCATTGGGGACGACGTGAAACTGGAATTAACGGAAATTTAAAAGGTATCAATCGTAAGTGCGCCTTTAATTTTGCTCAATCAACGAAAGTGAGATGTTAATTATCACCTCTTCGTTCCTTTTGGAACTTTTTCATGAATATTTAGATGTGTGTCCAATAACCCTTCATGTCTTCATGTCTTTTACCTTCATTACGTTCCTGCAGCCGAGGTAGAGGGTGGACAAGGATAACACAAAACAGAGAAATAAGTTTCTCGTTGAGTTATTGCACTGCCTGTTGTTAATACCGAGACTCGCACTTACATTTATTTTTCGAGGAATTCAAGAAAAACATTCAATTTTGCGGCTCTTATACTTTTCTTGTAGGTCATCACTGATGGATCTGTATGCAGACAAGAGTAGAACCCAGGCGTTTGGTAGTGACTAATGGCAATCAAAACCAACAGAGGCACGCGATACAAATTTAATGTCACGCGGCATTGAATTGAACCAGTGAAATCATGAAATTACTAGCATTGAGGCTATAATCAAATAAGTTATTTGTTACCATATCATTTAATAACTTTTAAGTACAATTTGAAACTCTTTTTGACTTCTTTTAAATTCAGCTTTGTGGATTTAAACTGATAAAAGTCATATGGTTTACTTTTAAAAAGAGATTTTTTGCGGAGATTGAGTAGTGTTGCGGCCATGTTTAATACAAGTTATGCTGAGAAAACCTTTTAATTAATTTCACATGGTCTTCGTAAGGATTATACAGCGATTTTTTCTAAATCACAAGTTTAATACGAAAGTTTGACCTTTGGTGTTTTGGCATATCTTACCTTTGAATTTCTAACTTGTTGTAGGTTGTACATATGACTGCTTTTTTTACATGCATTTGGACATGCAGTTTGATACATTTTGACCCATTAGATTGATAGCTTAATTTCTTAATCTTAAAGCCTTTGTCAGCTTGGAAGTAATGTACTCTCCTTAAAAACTAGAGCAGGCATAAATCATGAACTGTGGAAAAAACAGAGTCCACTGGTAATTACTTGATACATAATCCAATTAAAATCCATTTCAGATCTTCATTTCAGTTCTTACTGTTTTTGTATACTTCACGCAGTCTTCGCTCGGAAAATTAGTGAAAAAGCAGGCGATGGTTTTAGATTATCACTCTTCTGCTTGATATTGCAAATTCTGTGTAAAAAGAACCTCCGAAACAACAAAAACTAGAACACCATGAAATTCATATTCTGTTACACCCCTTCACTCTGTCTAAACTTTTCCTTTTGCCCAATTAATTAAACACGCTGTTGAATTACAAGGATAAGACCCACACCTCGCGTCTAATTCACTTGGACAAAGGGAGCTGGTTCGAGTGAAAGTACGGTCAGCTTCAAAGGTCATTAAGTCTAAAACGAAATATCCATGTTTTTCCTACCACCCTGTTAAAGAGGATACATTCCGTTAGAGACCGATACTGTGCTTTTAAAATGCAGCTAAGTATTATTGCTCACCACTGGTTCACATGTTTCACACTAAGTGCGCGGGGCTAGATTTCCGACGGTTATCGAAATTTCAGGGTAGGGGCGCGGGCTCATTTCCTGAACAGCAACTGCTTTTCGATCAAAAACTGAAAATTGTTTATTGACAATACTACTGACTTGCTCACCTAGACTTAGGGAAACATTTCAACTCTTTCACCCCTCGGAGCTACTATCATGTAATATCTCCCTACAGTATCAAGCCGAGCTAAGTATTAAGGTCATGAGAATTAGGGAAATGATCGCCAAAATCCTCGTTGTCAGCACCGTAGGAAATGTATAGCAAGAGGGCGGGTTGAAGAATTGGTTTCAGAGTAAACTCGTGGAGTAACTGACCAGAGTATGTGAGGTGATTTTCAAATAGCAAGAAGTCTAGTAATTCACCACAGCCATACTAATAGGAGGAACAAAACAAGGGGATCACCTCACCATTACTCCACCCCAATCCTACGCGCACAGAAAATTGCAGGCCTTCAAGGCCACTACAAAAAAACTAAAGAAACCACTACATAGATCTATCTTTAAGTTACATTTGTTTCTCGATTTTCGCCAAAAGTTTTCTTACAAATCGTTTGTAACTTTTCTGGACGCAGAGTAAAACAATGCCACCTAAATTAAGACAACTCTCAGTTTTTTCTTTTTTCCAATTCCAAAGTTAATTCAGTTTATTTCTTCTCTTCCTCATCTTCTCCTTCAGTCTGTTGGATTGGATTTTCTGTTGGATCAGGTATGATCGTCTCTTCACCAGGCTTCCAACCGGCCGGACAAACTTCCCCGTGTTTGTCAGTATATTGGAAAGCCTGGACTAAAAATTAAGTCTCGTCGACTGATCGGCCCACCTGCGAAATAAGCAGTTTAGATTAACTTCTTTGAGTAGCTAAGTTATAAATAGTACTTCACACTTTATAAAGCCAAAGACCGCTAACCGCAAAAAAATTAGGAGACTGGACACCAGGAGCCTTTTTTCTTGATACTATCTACTCAGCTTTTTTTCTCCCTTGTCCAAATCCAAATCGAAATATCACTATTTTTCACATGAAATAATAAGAACGTCACGAAATAAAAGGAAAGGGATCCCCACTGCTTAACATTTAAACAATGAGCTTGAGATTTTTACCACGTGACAGTGGACGAGGGCCAGACTCGAATCAAATTATATGAATGGACAGATAAATTTTCTCAGCGTATCAAGAACAATTAACTGTAGAAGCAAACAGCTACATAAAACTCGCAGTAGAAATTCACGGTACAATTACAGTCATACATGTAAAGTTACAACATACCGGTAGATCATTCATTGTGATCTGTCGTAGAGTCCCTTTGTCATCGATTATAAATAGACCCCTGAAATAGAACAACAGGCATGTAATAAAAGTGGTTATAAAAGTAAGAATATTCTCACCTTCACCAAATCTCCCCTGCCTAACTATCAGACCTGTTATATAGCATGAAGGAAGCAAAGTACAGCAACCTGATCAGACCTGATCTGAGTGTGTTTTTAATCCATAGATGTTATGTCCATTATGGGGACATACTGTAACTCCCCCCCCCCCTCCCTCCCCCCAGCTCCCCCTCAAAAGTAGTAATATTAAGGGGAAAAAACCATCTGACCAAGAGAGACTCTTCAGTATATGAGTTAAGTTTTTCTTAACTATGTGGTGTGACAGCCAACAATGCAACAAGATAATGCCAGTCAGGTGCTCAAAACTGGATATCTTGATCCAGGGTAGGAGCACAAACAAAGTAATGTTCAGCTTTTAGAAATCAAGAATAGGTAGATTGCAGATAATGAAATACTTTGTTCAAGTTGATATGGTCTATTAAATGATCATCACTATCATTATCATCATTACATCAAATAAGTTTTTTTGGTACATACCACACAGATGAATAGTGCTTTTTGTGTGCTCTGATTGGCTGGCTTGAAAGTGATTAACAAGCACTCTTCCCCTTTGAGCAGCTGAGGCAACAGAATCATGCATCAAAAATATAATTTCCAACCATTTCTTTGTATATTGACAGAAATGTACTGATTTTTTTAATTTCTGTGTGGTATATACAGTGTACATGCTAATATAATTATTTACCTCAGTGTAGGTGAAAGTGGTAGATATTTACCTAGCTGCTTTGCAGCTCGGTTAATATCCCCAGCTATTTCACCTCCACTTTGTTGAATAATGTTTATTATTCCAAGAGGATCACAGCTGATAAACACTAAACACATGTTTAAATAGAATGGCCTACAGACACAAAAAGTCAGAAACATGAGGAAATACAAAACACAGATATCCTCACCTTAAGGTGTGACCTTCATTCTCAAGCAGTACTCCATAATCTTTAGCAATTTGGTGGTTTAAGTCAGATAACAGAGGATATTTAAGCCTTCCCAGACCACCCTCTTTCCTTGGAGTGTTTATCCTAGAATTGAAAGGAATATAGGAACTTATTTATTGCTTCTGGTACCTCTGGGAATTCTTAACAATTCAACAGGTACAAGGATTGCTCTACAGTAGCTGTTTTGAGAATTCCTTAAATTACCAATCATGCTTAAAATAAGGGTGAACACTGCTGTAGCAATTATATATCTTTGTGATTACCCATGGAATCATTCAAAAGTTCTCTCCTGGATGACTATATTGTAATAATCTAACACTTTACACAAACATGTAGAATGAATGTAACTTAAAACTGGAATACATTTTATGGTAGATTTTTTTTACCAAAAATGGAAATTTTTCCTTTTTACTTTTAATTAATATCTGGCATTCTACAAATCTTCAATATAAATTGGAAATACCTTTCTCTGTTTTCTTAAAACTCTCAAATCCTTTAAAATTACAAATTCAGTTAAATTTTAGGATTGACCCTTTAACCCCTGAGAGTGACTAACATCTAATTTCTCCTAACAACATCAGCCCTAAATCAAACATTTAGGTCATGAGAATAAAGGAGATGATCACCAACTAAAGAAACTCTTGATTGTTGAACAAATTCTCCTTGTCAGAACCCTTGGAAATGTGTAGAGAGTAGTAATGGAGAATATACATACTGATGTTAGGGTGTAAAGGGTTAACATACCAAACTAAATGGGTAAAAACTGAATCTACTGAACAACCAACAATTTCAGTCTTGATTGCCCTGAACTCTTCAATTCTGTCACTAAAGGCAATGATCTCCGTTGGACAAACAAAAGTGCTGCAAATGACAACAAATAGGTGTTATTTGTAATGATTCAATTTAAAATAATATGCATGCAATTAATGAAACTTTTAATATCAGTCACCTTGAGAACAATGTTGACTACTCGGTAGCAATTGCAGAGAGATGACTAATTTGGCAGGATAGCATGAAGGTAGCAAAGTACAGCAAACTTTTAGTCAAAGAGTATTCTAACATCTAATACTCACAAGTCAAGGGAATAGAAAAAGAACACCAGATATTTCCCTGTGTAGGAAAAAGTAATAAATATAACAGAAATTAGAATGAACTGGAAAGAAAAGACAAATCATCAACAGATGACCAAAAACATCAAGTGAACATGCCAGAATTTGAGCAAGGGGAAGGTTTATCAAAAATCTATAGAAAAAAACTGGAAGAAGAAGACAAATCATTAACAGATAATGAGAAACATCACAGAAACATGCCAAAAATTGAGCAAGGGGAAGGTTTTTGAAAGAGATAATAATATTTTTAACCAATGTTTCATTAGATGTATTTGGTCACAACAGGTCACTTGACTGAATCTGCCTTGTGCATCTCCAAACAGGCAATGCCCATGCACTGACAAACATGTGTTCATTCAAGCCCAGGCAGAGGCCTCTGTTTATATAATAGCACATAAAAAAGGAAAATATTTATAAGCATTACAGTTTCAAACTGCTCCTGGCAGAATTACCAGTAGCCACATACAAGATCTTTACAAACCTGTGATTGGACTTCACATATGGCTCTCAGTTTTCCAAGTTACAGCTGTATCTATGAGCTAACAGAAAAAAACTTACCTCTAGAATCAGTCATCTTCAAATATTTGAACTCTCCATTAAAAACTGCAGTCCCTTCCCAATGATCGAGGTTCTGGTTTAGAAACTGTGCAGAAAAAGACTCAAAGGTCACCATTTTACATCCAAAGGACAATATTTATATCAAAATCAGAAACAAAAAGGGAACACAAAAAAGATTTCTCCTATCAAGAACTCAGATATTCTGGGACTGAATTGCCCTTTCCAAACACCGAAGACTTTTTTGCTACACTTCACCACCCCTTTCTCAATAACTCCAAAGAGCTGAGTTTAAGCAAAGGGTGTTCCCAATCCCATTTCAAACACTGATTTTAGAAAAATTCATGTTTCACCAATACTTTAAACAGCATTTCATGCATCAAAAATTTAAAAGGGAAATTTCATATCACTCTTTTTAAGTGCAAGGTTCCAGGCAGGGAAATCTTTAGGTTTTCACAAAATGATAGAAAAAATAAGCTGGTTTCATAATAGGAGGCAAATCAGGCTTCAAAATGCTTCATAAATTCACAAATTGAGCTAGCCTTTCTTTAAAATTCACATGTCACAAATTAATTTTGTATTTGGCTGTAACCAATATCCTTGCTATAAGCCAACTGACCCCAAACTTCCAATGTGTAAAATTAACTCAACCCTTTAAATTCCAAGATATGGCTGTTAATTCTCTCTTCTAGCTGCTACTTATTTCCTTATAAATTAGTAACAAGAATTTGGTGTTAAATCAAGATAACAAATTCTAATTGAGAAGCATTCTCATCACCTGTTTGCTGGATAATGTATGAATATTATAAGGAGAAATTACACATTCGTCACTTTTGGGAATTAAAGGGTGAACCAACGTGAATAAGTCAAAACCTATTCTTGGACTTTTTGTACATGTACATAACTAAGACCCAACAATTTTGCATACATTTACACTAAAATCTGCTTTTCTCTCAGATGAAATTTGTAAAAAAGCTATGCAATGAAAAGATGAAAGTTAACAAAGGTTCCCCTGCATAAAACACATGCATAAAAAAACTGAAGCGTTACTTTGAGTGAAAATAACTTGGCTTATAGCTGAATAATTACAGTATATCAAAATGATACCCTCAAGGTCACAAGTTTTTCAATTGTTATCACCTAGCTGTTGTTGATATTGTCAATACAGAGTTACTGTTATTAAGTGAATTGAGAAACATGATTTTGAAATAAAATAATGTCACCTTACAGCTTATGGCAACCTTGAGTAAATGCTGCAATGTAAATGCTGAAAATCTAATAAACACCATGACTTTTGATCAAAGGAGCAATGAAAGTGGATCATTTGTAAATTTTCCACAAAATGAACATTAAAAAAATTATGAGTGCTTGAAAATTTTAAATTCCATAAAAATCAATTGATGATTTGTTAAGACCAAAATTGAGACTGCAGACTGGGTACAAAGTACATGCTGCATCAAAATATTTCTCCCTTGCTAAACACAGCATACCAGCATGTATTAGTCTAAGATGCTGAGTGAAAAACACTTAATAATGATAATGATAATGATAAACAATAATAATATTGTTAAAATGTCATAATTAAAACTTATCTCCCTAATATATTTCAATCAGTGTTTATTCACATTGTGTATACTGCAATCTTTCCCTTCAACCCTTTAACTCCAAATAATAATTCTCCTTACTGTCTGCCATACCAGTCTTATGATGCTAGTTCAAAGAATTTGTTATTGGATCAAATAATCCCTTAAATGATACTTTTCTTTATTCTCATCACTTTTTTGCTTAATTGATATTGTCTTGTCACCCATGGGAGTTAAAGAGCTAAGTAAAACACTGAAAATACCAAGCTCAGAAGGCATTAAGCAATTATTTTAAGAAGAATGTAGGTGTCACGCTTTAAAATTCCAGACATCGGCAGCAAGAATATGTTAGCAATGGACATTATTACATAATGAGCATAATTAGAATTTATATGGCGCACAGATATGAATGATCCAATACCCTTCACAGAAAATAAAAAAATTATAGTAAAATAAAAATTATAAAAAAATTGACATAAAATTTTAAATGGCAGCTAACTAAAACCACTATAAAGTTACATAGAGATAAGAAAACCTTCTAATTCCCTTAAGAAGATAAAAACACTTCATTACTGGAGGCAACAAACTAAAAGCATGGCTCAAAAGGTAAGTTTTGAGACTACACTTAAAACTGGGTACAGGTCAGTGATGTCACTGAGTAGACTTTATGGTAACAGTCTCAATCACTCTGATGAGGGGCTAAGGCTCGAAACATCAGCTGTTAAACTCTTTACAGTGGCAAATTTACCCTATCAATTCAGTTGATAATACTAAATTACCCTGGTATAATCTCTCCCACTGACATAGCACCACGGTTTCTATAGAAACTTACCCCCTTTATTCCCAAGGTTCCGTCACCATGGAATATGACCTCAGCAAGTTGATAAAGAGGTCATAAGAAGTTAATTGTCAGGTGCGTGCACAGTGCAAAGCCTCAGGCAGATACTGGTATAAACACAAGCTCAAAGGGGCTGTGTATTCTCCTAACCTTGGTTTCTGAAAATCCATCCCACAATGACAGCTGATTCTTTCGTAAAAAGTTAGCTCTTGGTTTGCTAAGGGAATAACTCTACAACAACAAAGCTCTAGAGCACTGACTAAGGGAAACCTTTGCCACACTTAGTGCAAGGAATGAAATGTTGTGGGAACAGAAATGAACACACTACATATTCTTAACATAGATTTTGCCATAGAAATCAAAACACAAATGCAACAAACTAAACATTCAGTAACAGGAGTTCTTTTTTGTTCTAATCTTGACCCACATTTAAAACATTTTTTGGTTATGGATGGATTTGCTCAGCAATGGTTTTGATCTATAACTAGTTAAAAATTAAAGATTTCAAATGACACATACTGCATGTACTATCCCATGTTTAGAAATGCTGTGTTTGAGTTAAAACCTGTCTTTCCTTTTTACACAGAAAAGTTTTTTTCTCGCACAAAGGGCAAAGGCTCTGCTTAGAAATTAAGAAATTCTATTGACATGTACCAGTAAATAGAAGAAGATAAAGGAAAAGATCAGTTTCCTTATCTTTAGAAGTTCCTCTTTGAATTATTTACACTTAATTTTCTCAGCAACAGTTTGGTGTGGTAAGTATTCTCCTCTCCTCCTGAGAAAGACAATAGCTGGAAGAAATCAACCTTTAATGTTCACCAAAGAGAGAACTTTAAGGAACATATCCATAATTTCTACAGTAACTTTTTCCTACCTTCAAAAGATAAGGAAACTGATCAAGGTTTGTTCACAAGGAAATCCTCCAAATAATAGAAAATTCAGCAATTGAAATTACTTCACTTCACTAAATTCACATAAAATTTTCTGTGGACACTTTCTGCCCATTAAAAATTATTTGATGACCTAATCATTACTTGAAATGGTTGCTTCTTTTGATTGAGGTTTCATCCCTTAGAAATTAAGTAATATTAAAAAGATAACTGATGTGTAATTAATGTAATCTTAATGTTACAACTTTTATATTTCTCGGAAAAAAATTCAGTCTCTATCAAAATAGCACTCACATCAGGTGTGATGATTCAGAACCTGTCATTTGTGACAGAAGAGTGTTATTTCATTCCAAGAAAGTAAAATTTGGATTTAACAATTGATTAATACTAATTAAAACGACACCTTCACCCAGATTAAATATGCCAACAAAACAACCTCTTGCTCTCTAAGAAAAGCAAATTAACTGTGTTTGCTCCAATCAGTCAAGAAAAAAATATCTAGTTTTCCACCTGGAAAGTATTTCTTCCATAATTAAAACAGATTTAAAATTTCTCTTTCAAAATATTAATATCGGCAACATGGGTTTAATTAAAAAATGGCTTATCTTTAAGGTGATGTCCAAGTTACATTCATCAAATTAAATATGATAAGTGTTTGCCATTAAACAACTTCCAAAGAGTGTAAAAGGATAGTTATTGCCTTGTAGAATTTTCAGGATATAGTTCATAATCTTTTGTACTATTCTCACAGAAGTATTTCTAGGAAACATCTAAGGCTTTTTCTACAAGGAAGGTGGTTACAAAAATGCAATCCTTCAAGGAAACTTTATATAACGACTTAGGGAGCATATTTGTAATAACATTTTCTACTTTATATTTTTTGTAACAACACTGTTATCATGAGAATATTTTGGATAGTCTGATTTGTCACTGTAAAGTTAGTCAAACAACTTACAATTTGCCGAGTTCTCCGTCATCAATCTCCTGTGTGTTTCCCATTCCAATTATCCAATCCTCTTTGAATCCCATTTTCATCCTCATCTTTCAACTCTGCAAATCCAATAAAATAATTGATTAATAACATAAAACACACACAGTTAGTTTTCTTTTGGTCAGTTAGGCCATCTAGTATGTTTAAACTAGCACTACTGGTCTTATTAGAGTCCTTATAGCATAGCTTTAGCTGGTGTTAAAATAAAGAATTATTTGTTAAGCAACTTGTCAGTATAGGGCCACTTCCTTTAATCATTGCTCAAGGTTTCCCCAGTGATTTTCAGAAAAACTGCCCTACTTTTAGAAATTGGTTAAGAAAAAAAATTTCTTGACTGTGATTAAAAAATTCTGATCAAGTATTCAAAAAGCGATCACTGATAACGAAAACAGCTCTTTTCAAGACACCCCTCACTGACTAGCATACAAAATCTCCTTACAATATTACCACTGAATCACATATTTAATGTCACGAGAATAAAGGAAATGATTACTAACTAAAGAAATTCTTGATTGTTAGACAAATTCTCCTTGTCAGCACCTTAGTAAATGTACAGGGAACAGTTATGCATGCATTCTGATTGGTTCTCACTTATGATCTATTGGAGGACAGACATATAGATGACATTATCATTAAAACGTTTTTTAATTCTTTATTATATAAAACAAATAGATTCCAAGTTGCCATGCATTTTGACGTCATCTGTGATCTATTACTGAACAGACGCATGGCAACTTGGAATCCATTTGTTAAATTGATGTTAGGGTGTATTTAGGGTTAACAGTTAAAACTTATTTATCATTTAATTAATACTCTGTACAAGTAATTATTTGTTAGTCAGTCCACTTTACTGACTGTGGGGGACACAGTAGCCTAATGATCAGTGTACCTGATTCTGCGTCCAGAGGTTTAGGTTCAAGACCTAGCTGAATCAAAGTGTTGCCTAGGGTTAGGGTTAGTTGGTGAAGGTTAGTTCTTAAGCAAGAGACTTTTAATTACTTTCATAGTGCCTCTCTTCAACCTGGAGTACAAATGGGTACAGGGGAACTGACGAGGAAGCCTGATGAAATGTTGGGAGGTCACATTGTTATGGACTAACATCCCATCCAGGAAGTGGTTGTAATACTCCTTGTTGCTTCACACTACATGAAAACTGGGAAAAACTAAGTACTGAACTATCTGGAACTTTTTGAAAGATGAAGTTCCATGTTTATTGTATCGAATATTACAGGGGAGAGGGATCATTTAAGTCATTTTACATGAAAATTTTCTAAGGGAAATTGTGGAATACAGTACTGTACTTGGATAAAAGAAATCAATGGGAAAGCAATAGATTACACTTGGGACTACTGCTCTGTTTAAGAACAAGATGAGGTTATACAGAAATGTTCCTTCAA